GACCAAACCATAACCAACAGCAAAAGCAAAGGGGAAAGCACAGTCACTTCCAGAGAAACGGAGCAAAACCGTCTTCAAGGAGCCCTGGGGCATTACCAAAGTCAGCTGCTTCCTCACACCGCATTCACAAGACACCCGGGGATCATCATGGGGAGCAGCTATCACCTACATTTGCTACTGATTAAATTTCTGGGCTGAGTCAGATCACAAGGTGATACTTGATACTATTAAGGAGGCCCAGAATAACTGTAATTAACTCTCAATTTGGTATCAGCAGATCCACTTGCCCATGTGTTTTGCTGCACCRGGATCTCAGGTTTGTTTCCTCCACAACAGGATAAACTCTGGTTCTGGTACAGGATATCTGGTGTTTGTTTTCAAGTGCATCAGCTCCATGTTTTGGACACACAAGAAAAAAATATTAATTCTTTTTAAAGGGATTTTGTTCCAGATGATTTCCAGGGTATTGTTTGGAGCCTGCTGCCTGCAGGACACACCTGACCGCACCTGGGCTCATGGGGACTGCACCAGCATCAGGGCTAACAAGACAGCTCCCGCTGCTCCCCAATTCCAGAGGGTCAGGAAATTTCAGGAAAAAGAGCAACAAGGTATTATTTATGTTACCTATAGTGTGGAAAGAGCCCCARACTCCAACCAGTCCAAGCTGGGACCCACCTCAGCTTCCTGCTTTTGATGGGAAAATTAAGCAGCAGGATCCAGTGGCCCAGAAAGCTTTATCACTCTCAGAGCCACCACAGAGCTAAACATCTATTTGGATATTAGGTGAGATGTCACTGATGAAGAGCATGATCCTTGGAAAAGCAAGCAAAAAGAGGAAAAAAAGGTGAGACTTTCTTTTTTTTCCCCCCTAGTTACTGAGCATCCAACATGCCCCAATTATCTGTGATTCCATAGGGAAGCACAAGCTGCAAGGGGGCATTAATGGGGACCACAGCACAGAAGGACAACGTGGCCAGTCTTTACACACCAGGCCCAGACTTGCTGGAGCTAGAGCCCATATCGTGCAGTAAAAAGAGGAATTAGCTGATGCATTCCAAACCGTGCTTATCATTACAATAAAAATCTTCTGTCATTTTATTTAATAGCCTTATCAAGAAATAATTGCAATGTCTGGCTGCTTTTGACGACATGTGGTTTTAATATTTTAATTGGTACAAAATATTTCATAATGTTGAACAAAAGGCACGTCCAAGTAATTATTCTATTTATTAATAATTCCTTTTGAGGACTTGATAAATTATATAACACGTMGAACGCGCTTCAGTTACCGTTGCATTAATGTGTGAAGCTTAAAAGGGGAAAAACTACCCCAAAGTGGCTCCCTTTGGAGGTCCTGGCCACGCTGGGTATTTGAACCTGGGGGTCCAGGCGAGGGCATCCGACCGCCCCCAATCTGCTCCGTTTACATTTGATATACTCAAGCTGTGGCCTTTTGGCCTCTCCCCGAGTTAACTCCTGCACAACCTCCACTGCAAAGGCCACAGAGGAGCAGCCTGTTAAAAACGGCAGGCAAAATATCCCCTAATCCTGCCAACAAATATGGGATATGCAGGTTGATCCAAACAGAGCTACTGACCCTCATGGTGCACGAGGTTTTGCAAAATCCAAGTATATTCCAGCTTCTTGGTGGGGGAAAAGCAGGCACAGARAGGTGAACACAAAAAGAATCCATCCAGAAGCCTTTACCTTCTCCGAAGCTTCAAAAGGTGGTTCTGGATCCTCCTGTGGACCCTACAACGGGCAGCAACAGGCTCTTTTGTGCAGCCCTTGCTGAAAGATTGTGTCTTTACACCGAAAACGGGAAGGCGGCAAAATCCTGCTCCGTGCAACAGCCGGAATACTCCGAGAAATTTTACGTTTCCCCCATTTCCAAGGAAATAAATCAAAGTGAGTTTCTCAGGGCTTGTGAAAGCACAGTGCCTGGATTCCAATCCCCACAGGTTTTCTTTCAAGAGCTTATATGGTAGTTAGATTTCTGGCTAGAGAATATGCAATATGATAAAAACACAGTCCCTATACAGAGCAATAAATTACAGATTGTTTGATGTGGAAACCAAAGAACTGTCAAACTCTAGTATATCTGAAATATTCTAAATGAGCCCTGAACTCCAGTGTCTGGAAATTTACAGTACGTTTCCAGGCCTTTCAATCTTGTGAAGCCATCTCCCCCACTTCATTTTCCTTTGATGGATTTTATTCCTACGGGGTCTCTTTTTCCTTCCTTCCCAGAGCTGTGTTCTTCTTCCTAGAGACAGGCCTACRATAAACAGCAGGGCTTCTCCATGCATGAAAAGGGAAGTGAGCTGGGCACTAGCTTCAACTCTAGGAGATCTTTCTCTGCCAATGATTTTCTGTGTGGCCAAGTCACTTCTGAGCTTTGGCCATGTGCCTACAGAAAGGGGACAACAACTTCCTTGGCTTATTCATGGCCCACTCCATACACATGTGCTAAAATTGGAGCCTAGCCATCAGCCATCTATACCCTTGGGGCAGAAGGAACCAGGTTGACTGGAGGAAAAAAACCCACCTTGCCCTTTGTTTTTTGCTAGGGAAGCCACCAAAGTCACCAGGAGCACTCAGAGACCTCCTGCTGACATTGAGCAACCTTTCAGTTGCATCGCGGCTTCATCCACAGGACGAGTAGAAACCCTCCAAGCTACAAAGAGACCCTGTCCACCCTGGGAAATGCAAGTTACGGAGCAATTCCAGCTCATTTTCCTGAAGGTGACCCTTGGCCTCCCAGCTGAGATAACAACACTAATACTTACGGATGGGCCGTTTGTGCCTCTGGGCACAGAGCAAAAATAATTCAAATCACAACTTGGTAGACATCTAACAGAACCGAGGAGAGAAAAAATAAAAACCTCAGTTCCAATATGGTAAAAACAAACCGGCTCGCCCACTGGAGCACAAAAAATAGCACCACCCACAGTCCTGCTTGCAAATGCAACAAAAACGGCCTAGAGTTTTGATGGGATGAGTAGACACCAGTGCGTGTGACTCATCCACAAAGCACTGACCTGAGACAACACGTTCCTCAGACAGCCGTGCTTTCTCCATTTATTTCAGCTTGATAAAAAGGCGCCTACGCAAAAATTAATAAAATCTGGGCTTTTTTTTTTTTAATTTCTGTTTCAAGTTTTCTCTACTCCTTTAAGTGCCTGCAGATTGCATTCCCGTACACATACGAGGCTCTCATTTCACACTGCAAAGGGCTGAGGGGAATTTCTCCTCTCTGCATACGCTTCTCCAGCATGAACTAATCCGGGCACGCGAGTCCCTCACACAACACATTCCTCGAGCTCCAGCAAGCTCCAAAAGTTGGGGCTGCAAGAATACACATTTTCCAGCAGCGTGAGCAGYCTGAAATAAATGGAAGCCAAGTCGTTAGCGAATTATAAACATTAATTAAATCCACACGTAAAAGGAAACGGTGTGGAACTAAAATTGCTTGGAATAGAGCGGTTTCTGAGTCTACCCACATCCATAATATCTTAGCTACAGCTCATCCAACACAGTAACAAACTGGGAAGAATTCATTATATACATACTGCTAGATCCATAATAATTACATTATGGATCACACAGGTGATCCAGGTCAGAGCTCTGAGCGCTACAAAAGATTCTTGACATTTGAAAACCCTTAAAAGACACTGCTCGGTTGGGTTTGGCAGAGAACCTGCAGCATGGGAGTCCACGTCGCCTCGCAGATCTGCAGCCAGCACCTCAGACACAACCGTAACTCCCCCAGGAACCCTCCTGCCGCATTTCCTCCTCCGCTGCRTTCCAGATGTGTTCCAGATGTGACGGAGATTGCCAAACTTGAGCGGTAACTAATGCCACAGTGAGCTGTGACACCCCAAATCACAAACTAACCCCTCTCTGCAATTCTTTTCCTTATATACGAGCCACTTACCTTAGCTATTGATCCTCAGCATGAAGGGCTAGGTCCGTATCTAATTTTCAAAGATCACTTTCCAGCCATTAAATGCAAAACAACTCACTTGTCCCCCACAACACTGCTACACCTCTCCAACATCCCCAATGAAACGTTGCAAAGGAACAAGGAAAACAGCAGCTGGGATCACAAGCCAGCCTATTCTCCCCTATTTTTCCATCAGAGGCAGCTGGACTGTGTTTACCCAGTCCAGTTTACCCAGGGTCTCTCCCTCCACAGATCCCTYGGCAGCCAGAACAGATCAGCACAGACCTAACCTGACCCGATCCGGCAGCCAGCGTTTCCCAACCRCCTCGTGTCAGCACTTCCAAGTGCGCTAATAACCGTGTTTTGTTGCGTGCTGCTTTCTCACCGCGAACGGCAAAATACCATTAGCACCTGCAGGTTGCAGCCTGCCCTCCACCCCGCTTAACAGCGAGCTGATTATGCCTTTTTTTATTATTATTTCCCCCGCCTCATAATAATGACGGGCTGCTGGCAGTCGGCATCGCTCCGTGATGGCAGGGATGCGTGATGGAGAGGTGGGATGTGCGCGGGGACCCGGATGGTGGCTAATGAGGCATCCAGGCACCACTATGAAAACAGGCCATGGAAAGCAGAGGTTGGCAGAAAAGTTGCCACACCAGCAACTTCAGGCAGATTGGACCCAGCAGCCCCCCAGGCCTGAAAGGGCAGCTCTGCTTTAACCTCAGTGAAAAAGCCCTCCCAAACGCTCCCTTTGGGGCCTTTCTGAGCGAGCTGCTTGGCCGTTTTCAAAGTTTGCAGCTGGATTGTCTGTGCCAATGAGGTCCTGACACTGCGTTCCAGGAAAGTGCAGAGGTCCAAGCTCTGGAGCTACTGGAAAATAACCCTCTTTGGTGACCCGGGCTTGAAGGCAGASCTCGTGCAGTGAGCTGGGACACGCCGCATGTGTCCGGCAGCACAGAGTCTGCGTGAGCCCTAGGAACAAGCAGGGAAGCCGGATGGATGCAGAAGCCACCTCCCCTCTGGCGCCGGCCCTGCTGGCACGGCGGCAACGAACCTGGTTGATGTGTTTCAGCTTGTCAATGATCTGGCTGATGACTGGCTCGGCACCTCTCATCTTCACCTCGTGGGTGCCAGGCTGGGCTTTGGCTCCGTTCCTTGGGATTTGGGGACCGTATCTGCAAGAGGSAGCAGAGGAGACCGTGATGTTGTGGAGTAACATACAGGAGATCTTTTAAGTTCAGGGGAAACCAAAGAAATTCCAAGATAAGCAGCAGCCCCTTCCAAAAAAGAAGAGTAAAACAGTTAATAACAAAGCAGAAAAGGCAGAAGATTCCCATAAATATTCTGCTTTTGCAAAGAAGCAGGATGATGTAGTTGTATCACATAAGGACAATGAAGTCCTTTCCAGTCCATTAGTAACCAAGGAAGATGTTAAACAGTATACAACAGGGATAAATATTTTCACATAGCTTGCACCCAAGAGTTCCAGAAAAGCTGGCTGAGAAATTCTGGCTCGCTCATGTTTGTTTAAAATAAATCTTGGCAGACCACAGAGACTCCAGTAAGAGACTGGTAGTGTTGTGCCCACAGCCAAAAAAAATGAGTGGGATGACCCAGTTAACTACATGCTGATTAGCATAGCATCAACCCCTTGCAAAATAATGACTATCACTGATGTGTGATTTCAATAATAAAGAATTAAAGCATGAGAATATAATTAAYGCTGTCAACATCGCTAATGGAAAATAGGTGTTGTCAAACAAGGCTGATTTCAGTCTTTGATGAGCTGCAGCCTTGGGGATCAAAGCAGCTCTCGGGCAGACGGTGCCCGGCGCTTGGCGCGGCGCTGGGCTCCGCTCCACGTTATCCCGGTTTACACGAGCGTGCGCGACGCCCATCGGGAGCTGGCCGAGATCAAGAGCCAGTTCCCTGCAGGGGACTTGTACTGAGCAGCCACTTCCCAGCGTGGATCCCAAGCACCAAACCTGCTCTCCCATTTTCATCAATATATGTCCCGGCACCTTGACCTGAAACACTCATCTCGTGCTCCCCAGCAAGCGAGGGAACGATTTGTATTTCACCCGCTCGCTGCTGCCCTCCTAGCAGGCAGGCATGTACCTGAGCACGCTCCCAGCTYGCCCAGGGCCAGGCGGCACCTCGCTGCAAAACAGGGATGTGCACCGGGATCTCCSAGTCCCACCGGGCCCTGCACAACAGGGCCAGCGCCCACGGGGCCTCGGCGCCACATAGCCATCCCCCTCCCGCCCGTCCTGACGCTGGGCTCCCACGTCGCCCACAGCACACGTCGCTGCCCTTGATTTTGTCCATCAGCAATTGCATCATCCTGGAAAGCACAAAATACAGATATGCAAGAGAAGCGACGGCTCCCAGGCGGGGAAAGCACTTAAACCTGCGAGCAGAGCCTTGTCCTACACATAAAACCAAGTGATTTACAGAACCAGAAAGAGCCAGGTATGGGTAGGAGGCTGAAATAAGGGGTGCCGGGCGAGGCGAAGCGCTCGGCAGGGCTCCGCGTGCTCAGAGCACCATCTCGTGGGAGCGGCGCYGCCGTGGCGTGTTCCAAGCGGGAAACACCCAGTCCTGAGACTCCTTTGTCACATTTAATGTCCTGACATGTTCATCTGGCAACTGAATGCAAATATCTGTACAAGATATGACTTCTCAGAGGCCAACAAAATCGGTGGTTTTGGTGCTGCTCTGTGAGATTAGTTTAAAACACTGACAGAACTTGAAAGTTGGTTGCTGAAAAGCCTCTTGTGGTTCAAGGGATTTAATCAGCAGGATAAGTCCCCCACAGGAGTTGGCAAGAACAGAACTGAGACAGTTTGGCAGGTAACTAGATTAAATTTATATAGTATCTCTCCTACAACAGTTTTATACTAGGAAACTCAATAAGCTGGTCTTCAGTGAGCAAAACTCCTTCTTAAAGCCCTGTCACAATGCAAGGGAGGTTTTCTGGAGGCTACCTGGCGTGGCAAAGGAGAAGCAACACAACTGGCATCGGTCAAGGTAACAACACAGCCGAAGACCAAGGTCCTCCAACATCATGCTGCAGAAGGCAGAAATCCTGCTGAGACCTGGGTGACCCTGCAGCTGTAGGTGGGCAAGTCAAGTGATAACCTCACTCCTTCCCATGGAAAATGACTAAAAGTGACTAAAATCCACCTCGTTTGAGTCCAAGCTGCATCTCCAGGGGGGTTTCAAGCTATTAAACATGCAAGCATGTGCTATACCTGGGTGCATATAGCTTAGCTACCCTCAGCCAGTTGCTWGTAGCTGCTGCTTGCAGGCACTGCACAGCCTGCAGTGCAGCAGTTAATTCCTACCACCACCACCACCTGTGAGCAAATTGCTTCAAAGGCAACAAGGGGGATAAAACACTCCCTGCAGGTTGCTAAGCACAAGGGACCTGTTTTCTGCTGGGTTTCCAAATATCAACCATGCTGCAGCCCCGAGAGTCCTCCAAGATCCCGCTGCAGGAGCTCCCTGCCCAAGGGAAGCGCTGCCTCCTCCCAACCACTCACTACGCTGCAGTTGGTGAAGAGGCTGCAAACATGAGTTGGCTTCTTTTTACTAAATCTGAAGTCTCAGGGAATAACCTGGCTCTAGGAGATGGGACTTTTAAGGAATAACAACAAATACTGTAAGATTCATAGCAAAATAAATGGAGCTTGCAGCATAGAAGGAATGCCYGAGTTCTCCCTCCATTCTCACCTCAGTTCAGTAAAGTTCAAGACAAATTATGAAAAGTTTGGCCAGCCCTGAGACCAAGCAAGCAAGCATAACAGAGGAAGATTCATGATCTTCATTTTTGCAATACTCTGGAAACAATTACGGCCACTCAATAACCCACTGCATTTGCCTACTATCCTTTCATTAAAGCTTCCATTTGCTACAAAGCTGGGTTTTTATGCGTTTCAAAAGTCAGACAGCCTCTCTTTGGGGACTCCATTGTATCAGACATTTTGTTGCCCTGCCAGAAATAACCCTTTAGCTCATGGAGGCTTTGGTTATTACTGGCATGGAATTTCCTTTGTTCCAATTACGGAATCTCATTTTTCTCTCTTGCTTCCAATTGTGCTTTCATTGTTTATGATTTGTTTGATTAAAATAAGCCACAGCATGCCGGCAAAAACAGAGACAGCTGAAACYGCTCTCTCAAAGGAAAGAATCTGGCAAGGTGCTAAAAATAAATTAATTTGGAATTGGTATAAAAAGAACAGGAGTTAGGCGGATGATTTAGATTAACATATAAGTTCATCTTGAGCAGCTTGGAAGCAGCAGTATCTAGCAGGAACACTTAACTTGCAGGTTTTGTAGGGGGCAGATGCACCCRGTGTTCTGTTCAGAAGAGCTTTGCAGGAATATACCAGCGTAAGCAGATTATTAAACTCCGAGAATCTAGATTTTAATAGGCTTAAAATAGTATTAAAAGTTGCAAAACCCTGATGCTATGTATAAGCACATCTAAGTCTGCACAGGAGAGCCCACAGCAGGACTGCACTAAGGCCATTCATTGCATTGGGCAGGAGCATGGGGAAACTGAGGTTGAAAAYCCCATCTGGCTGCAGCCTCTTGGAGACCTGCACGTCTGTGCTGTGCTCGTCAGGTTAGAAGGGTTAAGGGGGAAACGGGGAACAGCTCAGGGCTTGGAATGGGAAGCAAGCGCCCGCGGAGCGGCACCGAGCACGTCCACGCGGCATTGAGCACGTCCAGGAGCTCCCTGGCTGCTGATTGCAGAGCCCTGGGGTAAACAGGGTAAATACTGATGGGGGGAAACACAAAAYGAGGAGCAGGGGGTGCCAAAAGCAACGTTTGCGTCAAATAGCAGGATATACATTGTCATTATTATCTAGGTACCTGAATGCATTGGCACAGCAATGCGAACTTGCTATTCCAAGCTTGATTTAACATCTTATGGGAAAAGGACTTAGAATAACCAGCAAACTTTGCCATGAAAGAGCAGGCAGGAAATGGATAAACCAGCCCAGGTTCTCTGACTTAATTACTCTCAAGTAAAATGGCCTTAAGCCCTACACAAAGATGCCACCAAAGCAAAGCCACCCTCATGCAGACCTGGCTTATCTCTATGGGTCAGAGACTCAACACTCATTTAAAGGAAAGGGATTTGTTTCCAGCAGCAGTATAGATGCAGCAACGTTTCTGCTGGTAGAGGCTATATGGAGCAGACTAAGTGTCCTGCTCTCCAGCCTGCTGAATTTCCAAGAGGATCTGAGCAAGCAGAAAGTGCATCTGACTTGCAAAAAACAGTATCTGACAGTGCATTAAGATATAAAGTAGTTTTTACCTGCATATAACCTAGAAAATCACACACGCCTGTCAGTTTTCTCCGRCAGTAATTACAAGTGATGGGCAACTATCAGGTCAATAATGTGGACTTAATACCAGAGACTCAAAAAGCAYCAAATTTCTTGTTGAAAGTGCAAAACTGCAGCCTGAATGATGCCTAGACCAGCTGTAGCGCTTCCACAAACACTCCTGACTCTGGAGGAGATCCCACACTGGGAAATCGAAACACCTGAAGCAGCCAAATGATCCTTTTTGACCCCTTCAGTTATATACCAAGCAACACAATTGGGTTTAGAGCAGATTTTCAAAGCACGTTTGTTTGATTTGCAAGTCTCTGGCCAGACAGAGATGCTCAGCGAGCACTCGAGAGCAAGGGAGAATCAAAGCAACACCCATTGTGGTCTTGTACATACCGATATATGACTGGTACTGCTGCTTTGCAGCCCCAAAACATCTGCTCACAGGTCTCTGCCAAACCAGGCAAGAAAGCAAAGGGCTTTTCTAAGCAGAAAGATGAAGGGGAAAAAATATAAAAAAAACCCCACCTAAAACCAGAGCTAACTCTCTAATATAAGCAGGTCCTCTTGCAAAGCCACAGTGCTTGTGGCACTATTTTAAGATGCTTTATAATTAATTAGCAGTAAAGCGATGTTGAATTATGGGGTCATTTTTGTTTGTTTGTTTTCTTTCAGTTCTACTTCTCCCTAGGCATGGAAATGCAAGACTTTCCAGAAATGGTACAGACAGAGGAYACATTTTTCCTTAGGCAAAGTACATTTTCTTAAGTGTGAGATCTTAGATGCTTGAGCACTTTTTAAAAATACAGTTTAATGCTCTGGTCCCTTTAGTGTTTCAGGTCAGCATTGCAAGTGCAGGTTMATCATCACCTAAGGCTACTGATCAAGAAGTTGTAATTAATACCTCAAGGTTTCATTGCTTCTCGATTTTATTCTATTTCTTCTCTTACAGAAACTACTTTATAGCAAAGGATGCTTTGCAAAGCAGCGTTATTAGCTGAGACTCAACTAGGGGAGCAGCATGCTGGGCAGAAACTGGGCAAAGGGTAGGGAGGAGAGGGGGAATCCACCTGTCCACSATCTCCTGTCCGTCCCAGCAGCGGCTGTCGTTCTGCACGGCGGAGCTGTGGCTGCAGATGTACTCGGGCAAGCTGCTGTAAAACCCGCTGTGCGACTTCAGCTTCGCGATGAGTTCCCTGGAAGAAAGAGGAAAAAGGGGTGCTCAGTTACAAGAGGAAAGACTGTGGCGTTGGTGCGCTTTACCCAAACAGCAACCTAATGCTGCATGTACCAAGAGGGCAGCACGAGGCCCTGGTCCTCCCCACCCAGCTCCATCCCAGCGTGGGCAAGGAGACACACGGGGGCACTCGGCAGATTTATAGGTAAAAGGTGCTAAAAACACTGGGATATGAACAGCGGGGACCAGAGGAAGCAACACTTGGCTTCAGTGCAGCCCATTTCCCCTTTGGCAGCAGATTCCTCCTTGGCCTCCTTCCTGGCCAGGACCGTCACCTCCAGCGGGAAGGGCTCCCAAGGGTGGGATTCGGGGCTGCCTCCGCATCCTCTCTGCTCCACGTGGGGAGCAGCAGGATGGCAGGTTAGTCAGGGCTGGACTAGAGACCACTGCAGCTGCTGGCTCCGCAGCCCAGCTCCGAGCTGCCAGCTGGGGGCAGCCGAAGCCAAGGGAAGGCGCCCGATGACAGCAGCCGCCCGCGCTGTTCAGATCTGGGTTTCTCCCAGTAAGCAGCATCTCATCCCAACTGGACACGCAGCCAGTGCACGCAGGGAGTGCTGCAAGCACCTACCTATCTAACCATTGCTACCTGTGTCAGTAAATGCAGCTTAGGCTGAGCAAAAGCCTCCCAGAAGGGGCCACGCTCCAGCTGCAAGTTAAAGGGTGCTGAGCACTTTCCTCTCCTGCAGCAGGTCCTGCCCGTGTCCTCGTTTCTGATCCTCAAGCAGCAGAGAGTAAAGGACAGAGAAAACCTCCCCCTGCCCTCGAGCTCCTTGGTGGGCTCTGACAGAGGGGCAGGGAGAGACCCCTCTGCAGTGGGTGGCATTGGAGCTGCTGTCCCCGAGGACACGTCCAGCCGAGCAGAGTCCGCAGAGCCCGGCAGCGTGTGGAGGCAAGGCAGGAATGTGAGCTCTGCCGCTATCTCACGGGAACTGGATCAAGAATGCAGCCTGGTTACTCTTTAAAAGGAAATACATCCACGTTTAGCCTAACCCCAGTGCTCAGAAGAGCTGGAATGACCTGTCTCTTCTGCAGAGGTTTCTCGTGTACTTAAAACATCAGTGCAGGCACGGCCGTAAGCAGACACCAGCTTTGCTTTGAAAACACTCAGTAAAAGCCTGCTAATATTCATAAAACAAGGCACAAAAATAAAGGGAATCAAGTCCCGCTCAGCCTGCAGGAGAAGCAGGACACAAAGCCCTAGCCCGAAGCTGCTGTTTCCACCTGCAGCAAAGCCTGGAAGGGTCCTGGGCTCTACTCCAGACATGGTGCTTGGGGTGCAAGCCCAGGGCTCGATGCTGCTCGAAGGCGAAATGATGAAGAGCAGCRGGCAGCAACCCAGAGGAAAAGCAAAGCACAGAGAAGGCAGCTCTCACCTCCTGCGGCCGGACAGAGTTTCTTCTCGCTCACTGCGAGCCACCCTGGGGACCTTCTCATAATCAGGCAGCTCTTCAGGGTAATTAGCTGAGCGATGTCGCCTCTGCTGAGCGTGGCCACACAGGCGGCTGATCTGCAAGACACAAGTGCCACAGCRTTAGCAGGACTGGGAACAGCAAGGAAAGAGCTCGAGGTGGATGCTGGCCCTGCACAGAAATACAGGAGAACCACCCTGGGCTGAGAGGTTGAGGGACCCACCAGACACTGTGCCCAAAAGTGCCCAAACTGTCCTTGAAATGGTTTTGCATCCCAAAGTCCTTCACACTATGGTCATTCCATCCAAGCCAAACATGTTRCTAGGATGAGGTTTGCAGAAAAGAGGATAGAGGAAAACGCCAAGAAATCCCCGCTTTGCACATACGGKCCCAGGTCCTTCTGATCTGGAGGATCTTTAAACGTGTCTGACATCTCACGTGGGCTCCATCCTTGGAAGCAAAAATCACCCTTTCCAGTGGGAATTTCTGCTAGCAGGCAGGGGACACAAGATGGTCCCCAGCCRAAARAAAAAAAAAAAAAAAAAAAAARAMWKGAGGAGRAARAAAGGCATKKGKGCTACAGTCCAATKGCACMMTGGGAKGTMTTGATTAAMCGGTCMCTGTTAATRACACAAATGAGCTCATTAGCATACAGATGACGCTGGATGAAGCGGCAAGGGGAAGGCTCGGAGGCACCCGGTTAAAGCTGACTTGGACTCATCCCAGCTCCTCATCCCGGCTGCGGATCATCCTGCTGAGCAGAGAGCGCAGGGAGGGGTAACCGGCCTGCTCTGTTCCTGAAGTGGCATCACTTCGGGCAGGAAAAGGACTTCCCGAGTGGCCAAAAACCCCGATTTCCAACTTCCTCCTCCTTCAAGTCCGTGCTGCAGTAAATTAATCAGCAGGAAGTTTCTCAGGCAAAAGGGAGGCTTTTTTGTCACTTTTCCAGGGACTCTGCCAGAGCAAGGTTGCCAGCAACGTAATGCCAAAAAAAAAATAAAATAAAATAAAAAAAATAAAATCCTCCCTCAAAGTCGAGCACTTCCAGCAGCCTCCGGAGCTGCTGCCACACCAGCAACTGCAGCAAGCTTTTCCACACCAGCTTCCCTGAATTCCCAGCATCCCCAACATCATCCAGGGCAGGAGAACRCACCACCTCCTGCTGCCACTTCCCACCATCCCCGTCTTTCTTTTACTTTCCTAAGGAGCAAAGTTCTGCCATCAAGGCAGAGATCCCAGAGAACTGCCAGGCTCTCATCCTATGCAGAGCAGCGCTGGCAAGGGGAAGCAGCTGGTACCCGTGGAGCAGGGAAGCTTCTGCCTCAGAGGCAGCATTGACCCGAAAGGAGAACCTAACGGAGCAGCTTTGGCAGCTGATTTTAACACTTTCCCCCTAATTTTGGGTAAGAGGTGCCCGAGAACCGCGGGATGCTGCTGCGCAGCATGGAAATGCTGCTTCATTTGACCTTTGCTTAAACTTTACACAGTTTCCATGCACTTTCCCTGGGAATTCCTTTGCTTACGGACTCATTCTTCGGGCTCTCCTCAAGGCAACGGGCTCGTTTTTACAGGTTTACGTCCACGGAACTCTCCGGAGTTCGCAGCATCCTCCTCTATCGGCTGCCACGTTTCCTCTGGGAAAAGCTGCACATTAAGCTGCAAAGCGATTAACTCCTCTAATTGATTTGAACACAGCCTCCGTGCGGGCAGCTTGGCTCGGCCACGCGGCTTCCCACACGGCAGCTGCCGCGGGAAGCGACGGCGCTCCCGAAATCCCGAGGCCCATCGGAGAGCCCGGCCCGTAACTCCAAAAATAAACAGGGAACCTGCGTGGGCTTTCTGCTCAGAGCCACCATAGCAGCAAATACAAAGACTATTCCTCAAATATCTATTCCTTAGAAATTGGCTTAATTACCTTCTGAAGAGCTTAAAACCAAATATATATATATATATGTACACACACACTGCAATGATGCGGCATACAACATAAATTTTTTAATAGTAGTAACAAAAACCATTTCCCACTTCCACAGGTGCAATAAAAATGCTAATATATGTTAATGCTTACTCGGTGGTTAATGTTTTGTCTTGCTAATTTCCTGGGGTTTTTATGACCGAGCTAAATCCACCAGGCTGCTCGGCTGCCTGCCCTGCTCTCCGCGCGGCGTCCTCAAAAACAGACACGTCCGCAACCCAAGACAAACATTCCTGTGAGGTGCTTGCAACCACCACATGCATTCTGGCAAAAAAAAATAAATAAAATATAATAATAATAAAAAAATATGTGGAAAAGGGTCCATTCACCATTCTCACACTCTCCCCAAAAGCAAAGACTACAGGAACAGGCAGGCAAGTGAATTTATCACGCTATTTCAGGAGCACCTTGTACCAACTACATCGTGTTCTGCCGGTCCAAGGATGGCACAGGTGTCTTCCATGTGCATTTCACTAAAATTCCTCATTAACGCATTATTAAATGCTCTTAATCAACTATAGGGCGTTACAATCCAGACTACAGAGACGCTGTCTTGCGAGGATCTCATCCGAAGCGGCTCTCGCCCAGCCGCATGACGTGACCCTTCCTCTACACCGCGATGCTTAATAATGCATCAGTGCTAAATAATGCAAGGAAAAAACGTGTCCGACACACACAAATCCTAATGCTTAGAATAACAGGGGACGCCTGCCAGAGACCACCCTGGGATGGAATACTGCCATGTGCCTCCTTATCCCTTTTTKCCTACCGCAGAGGGTACTCTTTCATTCAGAGGCACCAGGATTTGAGGCCAGCCCTTGCAAAGGCACCTATAAAAATGCAAGGATGTTTCCCCTTGAAGCCAGCCTTGCCCAAAAGACATTGATGGAGCAAAAGAGACGCAGGAGCATCCAGTGGGAGCATCCAAGCAGGAGCATGAACAAGCCAGCTTGTTCCAGCCCGGCTTGGGAACATGCTCGGCTCCGGCATCGCCTCCCTTGGCACATGCCCTGCCTTGGGCTGCTTTCCCTTGCGCCCCTTAATGAGCTTCCGCTGCAGCTTTCCAGGGATTTTAATATCGCGCTGGGTTCGTGCCTACGGCATCGCACAACGAAGCGACGGGAGAGAAATAAATTCCTCGCAGCTTAATTTAGAGAGGAAAAATGGATACCTGCCATCAGCGTGTAATAGGAGCCAGAAAGAGGGGCTGTAATGGGTTATTTAACAGTGGCGGCATCAGCTGGGTTGCAAACGTGGTCAATAYTGAGTGGTCCAACCTCCCCTGTGCAGCTGCCAGCCCAGACTCAATTATTCCTTGAGAAACACATTGCTTAATAATTTAAAAAGTTATTGCAAGTCTTTTTTTTTTTTTTTTCCTTCTGTCTCTTAAACCAGACTGATTCAATTTTGGAAGTATAAAGCCATTATAATGTGTCAGCTAGCAATTAGCTACTGTACACTGTTTATTCTTGAATATAATCTTGGGGTAGAAGGGCAATATTCTTGGAAACGCAGCATTAACTTGCTCCTCAATGACTTTAATATGGCTCTTTTCAAATTGCTGCTCATAAAATCGCAGGGAAGAGAAACCTACTGATGATATCCCATCTCCTTAATTAGCTCTCGCTCTCTCCATCAGCCCTTCAAGAGCAAACCTAATATTTATATAAAGCAGAGCACAAAAGGCTCAGCGCCAGCTGCCCCAGCGGGTCCTTTTGGATCGAGTACGAAGCAACGCCTGGTTCCTAACCCACACGGATCCGCACTCCCGGCCAAACGCAGCCTTGGAGATTTTCACTTTAATAAACTCCTGCAGCGAAGCCACTTCAAAGCTTTTTATGCCCCTAACAGTATTTTTCACTGCAAAACGTTTCCCTCCCCTCCTGCGCTGGGATGCTCTGGGCAGTGCAGTTCAATGGAGAAACCCAACGAGCCCCCAGTCGCAGCCTCCTTGTTTAACCCTTCCTATATTTATAAGGATGAATAACAGATAAATAACCCTCTGCTGCTGCCTCCAGCCTCCCTTCCCACGCTCAGCATCAATTTCAGCTAACACAACACAGCCACACATACTGAAACTCTGTCATTTCGTTGGTTTTTAGTATTTTCAACAGAATATTTGCAACCATTTTTTCCCAAATTCAGAGCACCGAAGGAGCAGGAGAGTCAAGCACCACGATGCACAGGGTAGGAGAAGGGYCCCCCTCCTGCCCATTCTGATCCCACTAAAGGCCAGTGCCTGGAAAACTCACCCAAAAATGTAGCTTCCAAAGTAAGAGAGACTTCCCTCATCTGCTGCTCTGATAAAGGGATCACACTCTTCCCAAAGCCACGTTTGCCTTATTGAAAACATAAATTGGTATTTTCTAAAGATGTTGGTATCTCCAGGGCTTTCCTGCGGCTGTGCAGTAACACTTTTCCTGCACACCGTGGTTAGCAAGAATGAACTATGGGATAATTTACAGCATTAGATTATGTTCTAATAGATATTGAAAATACCTTTACAACGGAAATTGGAGTGCATTTCAACTTTGTTACAATGTTATACATCTGACTGATATATTAAGTAGAGTTTGCAGACAGAAATTAAGTTAATTTGACTTGATTTTCAATACCTTTATTAATGCTGTCAAACAGAGCTAGAATTTCATTATCAGAAGTGGATTCCAGTAAATCAATATCCACTGGTTCCAAAGCAAGGAAGAAGAGGGAAAAAGTATTAGACTAGAGGCTTTCAATGTCTTGGTTTGCACCTTTAGCTCCATCTCATTTTTTAAGCTGTGGAAAGAGCATTTTCGCATCTGTGAATGACCAAGACAGACATGCACATATATTCTGTTACTCCAATAATTTCAGTGAACTAGTTGTATGGAGAGGGGCCTGTTATATTGTAATGAGTGACTGACGGAGCAACTCATGGAAAGAGATTTTAAAAAAGGCACTGCCAGGCCTGGGGATGGGCAGAGCATCCATCCCATATCTACACATTTAAGCCCCCGGAGGCAAAACCAGCTGGGAGCAACAACTCACCACATCAGCTCCTGTCCTCAGGTACCCTCAGCCTCCTGCCTTCTGTTCTCACAGACGGATGATTTAAATACAGGCAGTTTTAGTATCTACGGAAATACCTGCTCTCGTGCTCTGGAGAGCAYCGAGTTTATTTGTCCAGCGGCACAGATCGATGGGTGCAATCCAGGAGTTAATAAGCTTTCCAAAGAAGCAACTCCAGGCACRTAAGTCACCCGTGAGTTATCCCCGCTAAGCGGCGGGCTCCGCGCTCCGACGCTGCTCGCTGCCTCTCCAGGTCACTGCCCGGGAGCGTCATTTCCACCGCGGCGGGTAGCRCAGGAGGGAATTAGGTGTGAAAATTGGTTAGCTTGGAAAGATACACCTGCATAAAGAATTGCTAAATTCGCCAACTGCCAGTTTGCACTTTTTTCTTTTTTTAAATGGAAATAGCTCTGCCAAAGGAGCTGCAGGCAATCGAGGCAGCTTTCTGCAGTCAGCCTGCTCTCACTCAAATGAGCCTTTCAAAGAATAACGTTGTTAACAGCGAACTTGAGTCTCATGCCTACACATGAGAGCAGGCTCCAAGCCCCYGAGGCTCCAACAAGCTGAGAAGAGGCAGGGCAGCACAACAGGTAGATATGAAACAGGCCAGCAGTTGGTTTGGCAGGAATCAAAAGAGGCCACAAGGATGGGAATGGGACTCTCCCAGCAACTAGAGATGCATTTGCTGCTGAGAAGTTCCCCTTGATTGTCCTCCTGTAATTAATTTCAATCCAATATATTTGCAAGACAGCCTTTTTCATGCACAGGACCTTAAGACTTCTGCATGACAAGACGCAAAAAGGCAACAGCAACTCACCATTCCAAGTACAGAGCATGTGCAGGATTCARTTTTGTTCCTGGCACAGGCAACAGCATCACTTACTGGCAGGTTAGCTCTAGTTTTAGGACAGCCCAACTCTTGTGGTTATCTGTCACTGGAAATAATTGCAGAGCAGTTAACACGAAGGATGCCCAGTCCCTGACCTCCGCTGTGGCTCCTGCTGGAAACAGCAGCCATGGATAATGAGGCCAAAGGAACAGTTCATGTAAAAAGCATCTATAGACCRATACCTTCAAGCACTAGCCCAATGCTCCAAAGCTGTGGCACTTTGCAAGCATGAAAACCCTCAGGAAAGGAAACGGGTGGGAACGCAGTTTGCAAATAAAGGCTCTCTGTTAACGGAGATGGCAGGAGGCTGCAGCGACCTGCATGAAAACCAAGGGAGAGGGGTCCACATTGCACTGAACGGCAACAGAAGCGCATGACCAGCATGCTGCAACATTGCTGCGAGTGGCTCTGAGCTACAGAAAACTAAAACCTCCCTGCATTTCTAACGTAGCACTTGCTCTTTTTTTCCCCCTCCCTACAACGTGATCTTTAAGACCATAACCAGAAAGATCAGTGACCTGCAGCCCCATGGGCAGACTGAGCAGCACCACAGGACATCCTGCTGTCCCCAGCTGGAGGACACGCATCCTTATGGACATGTCACATGCAAGCCCCAACAGAGCCAAAGCCTGGATCTCCCYGCTCCATGACTCACAGTCGCAGCAGGCCATCCCATCCACATGCATGAACAGCTAGAGCCTCGTGCCAAGCCCTGCACCTTCCCTYAGGGGTTGGAGAGGCTGCGACCTGCCTGGTTTCCACTCTACAGGGAGAGGGAAGGGGAAAAAAATGGCATTAAAAGATATTTATGTAGCCAGATATCTGTGTTAAATCAACAGTCATCTATCACCTCAATTCTGCAAGCTTTCAAAATAATTTTACAGTGCAAGCTAACGGTAATGAACACCAAAGAAAATCAGCTATCACCTATATAAGAACACCCAGACCTATTTTCTCTTTTTGCTCTCAAAAAGAGAGAGAGCATTAGTGTTGGGCTGCATTGGAGTTGCAAACTGCATGAGGTTTATTTGGGCTGCATCTCTCCAGTTGTCTCTGGCTGTGGCAGAAAGCACAAGCGGATCAAGTCCCATCGCCCTTCCCGTGCTTGGGATTAAACACYTCCAAGAGGTGGAAGTAGAAGACAGGAAAATTTAATGTGTGTAGATAGCACCATTGAGATTTTTATGAGCCCAGTGGGAATGAGCCTCCTTGATAAAGCATCTTAAGGTCATATTTTAGGGGTATAGTAGTACAGTAAATAACAAATAATAGATACCTATAAAATATAAAATAATAAACACACTAATACTGAGAAGGGGTGCAGTAGCACAGAGAACCCCAAAGGGCTGCCAAAGCCAYGAGAAAAGCGAGTGGCCCGAAGGACAGACAAGGGCAGCGGTGTTGCTACCAGGGCTGATGGCTACGGACAYGGGAGAGAAGTTTCCTGCAATTCAAGAGGGGCTTAATGACGTTTAAATAACCTGCCATTAGCCGTAATAACRCACAGGTGAACTGAACTTTGCCTACAGAAAGGTCAGTGGCCAAGGGCAGCAGCAAGACAAGTTGGAAGGAAAAGTCAGTGGGTCTTGCAGAGATTTTTTTTTGTGGTGTTTTAGACTTTGATATGAGAATGATGTCTAAAGTCAGTCGTATTTGCAGGATAACAGCAAAATTAACACGTTTGCAAGGACTGTCACAACCCTATCACAGTCTGGCCCCCTGCCCACTTGTAAGAAGTTGCTCTGGGTTTAGGTTTGACATAAAAGTCTTTGCTGAGGAACCAGCATTTAAATAATAAACTTTACAAAACCCAGCTGCCATTCTCTCGGTGACCGCTGGTTTGCTCTGTTTGGGTTTTTCCCTCCACGCTCCTCTAACTCAAGAACATCTCCAGAGCAAATAAAAGAATCGCTGGAGTATTAAATAATCAAGAGGAGTTACGTTTAAATAAGTGCCTAACTATACATGACACTAATGAATTTAAACAGCTCTATCAAGTACAAAAGTGCTGAATGGCTTTGTGAGGCTCAAGGATTTCTTATTTTAGAGGACACGAGTTTATGTTCTGCTTTGGCAAAGGATGGGTAAATAATRGCTCCACTGCCACCTACATCCAGACCCATAAGCTACTCCATTTCCACGGGTCCCCCCACAAAAAGTAGGAATTACTTAGGAGCGCGACTGCCACAGTGACCTACATAAGCTGTTCCTTTGTAAACACAAGTCAAGAATGACAGGAACAAGCTGCTAACAGCAAAACTGCAGCAGATTTTAATCACCGCTGGCTTTAAACGAACGCCGACGTTCCCACCTTCCCCGTCATTCCACTCTGCCTGCACAGAGCGATCCGATCACATCCCCAAAGGAAAAATCCCCTCCACAAAACCAGCATTACACTGCAATGTACCGCTTTTTGGAGAAAGCATTTTCCCCAAGAAGAAAGGCTCCGTTTATTGCAAGGATTAGAAAGTCACACTATGTATTTTAAAAGTCAGGTCACTCATAAGAGGCAAGCAAACTGGTGGGAATTAAGGGCAGCTTGAAATGGGGAAGAATGGCCACAAGTGGGGAAACCAGGCACCTCCTTGAGCACCTCAGAAAACAGAGGGGATGTTGCACAGAGCTTGCGCCCATTTATTTGGAGATGCATTTTTACTGATGCTAAAGGAGGAGGAATGGTCCTGTCCCCTGCCCTACTCTGCAACCTTCCCTCATCAAACAGTCTCCCAATGATCTCTGTCCATCTCCAGGGATGCTCAACATGGTGTAGCTGATGGCCACCAATGTGGACTATGCACAGCCACCCCACACTGCTATAAATACTCGGGCAAACGTATTAAGTTTGCCACACCTCACAGCAGAGCTGGCCAACGTTTGCTGTACCCGCTCCGTGTCATCCCCAGGGCACTGGAGAGGCATGGGATGCAGGAGCATCCTTTTAGAGCTGCACCAGGGACCACCAGAGCCACTCACACCCCAGCCACGAGTTCCCTCCCCACAAACACCAGGTTTTACCCCAAATTTTGGGAACAGGGGAAAAAAATACAGGCGGGGAGGTAGAAATGGGAGAACTGAGGGCTTGAGGGGACTCACGGTTGCCGAGAGCTTCCCTCCGTCCTTCAGCACGTGCGCCACGGCGTCGCGCACCAAGGAGAAGAGGCGGAGCAGGACGCGCTCCATGTCGTAGGCGCCGCGCATGCCCTTGGCGAGCGCCTCCAGGGAGCCGATGTACTCCCGCCAGTGGCCATCGACATCCAGGAGGGCCGCGAGGCAGCCGCCCACCACGGCGCCGCAGTAGCCGCCGCAAGGCCTGGCCAGGAGCAGCCCGCGGCAGTGCGAGCAGTACCAGAGCCGGAGCAGCGCCCGGCCGCACTCCTTGCTGAACTTGAGGTGCTCCGTGGTGTTGATCACCTCGATGCCCAGGTTGAGGGCCTGCAGGAAGGCCCGCGTGGCCTGCAGGGACTTGGACACCTGYGTCATCATCGTCTTGGGGTAGTTGCCGAAGACCTTGAGGTCTCTCCTGGCTGCCCGCAGGCATTCGGTGGTGTCTGTGGAAGGCTCGGAGAGGCCGGGATTGATCAAGTGAGAGTAGACCAGAGGGAATAAGCTGTCAAAAAACTCRTTTATCATGTCATTTACGCTGATGTCCGAGCCCAAGATGTACAGCGAGATATCAGTGAAAAGCTCGCCAACAAACTTGAGAGCTCTGGGTCCCATACTCTGGTAGTGGTTCCTAAACATGGTGTTGGTGAAGTTTCTTGCGTGCCGTACCACRATTTCAAAGGCTTCTGCAAAACAGAACAGCAGCAGCACAGTATTAACAGAAAACACAGAAACAGGGAAGATAATATATTGCACTACTGCTGCAGAGGCTGGTTCTATCCTGCCCATGGTGGGTGCACAGCACACAAGAGCAAGAGTTTTGCAGAGGAGTGCACATAGTCCTCAAATATAAGCTACTTTCCAAAACGGCAAAAGCTACGAGCTAGTTAACATTTCAGCTCTTAAAGAAAATATTGATTCAAAAAAAAAAAAAAGGGCTAGACTGCAATTTCTTTTCCTTCCTTCCCTCATATTGATTCAAAATTAACAGGAATACCATTTAAGACTTCATTTAGGGCAGAGACAAATGTTTGACACCAAACCACACAGTGTTTAAAGTCAGGAAACTGTAAATGCTGACACTCCATTACAGGAAGGAAAATATTTGTAGGAGCTTAATCCCAGAGTTTTTGGACTCAGCCCTCAAGAACCGCTCTTAACTAAGCGTCACATCCATGTCCACACCTACACCTGCAGCCTCCCTCACCTGGCCCCAGTGCGCTGGTTAAAGCATTAGCAGGAGARGCTCTCGGTGCAAACGGGTACCGAGGTTTTTCATTTCAGTCAAACATCTCCAGCGGGGCTGCCTCCTGCCCTCCCGGGTCCTATTCGTAAAACACTAAAAATAATTAACAACCTCTCAGCTCACAGGTCACCGACCCCCTGCAATGCAACTGCTCTCGGTGGCGCCGCTCTGGAAGCGCAAATCCAGGCGCGATTTGCATGAAAATTATTCATGCTCAATAATTAAAGGGAATGTTTAATTTTTAAAGCCGTAAGTGTTATTTTTTCCATTTGTTCAKTCTGGCGTGCAGCAGAGTGCAGCTTGCTGCCGCCCCGCAGGGCCTCCGGACCAACGTTCCCACTGGTGCCGTCAGGCTGCTCTGCTCGCCCTGCACAACCCTGCATCAGCCAAGAGCTCCAAAGGCCATAGGGTCCCYCCCAAAACTCCAAACACTTCTCCCCAGTGCCCATCACCCATGGATCCACTACAAAAGGAGAGCAAATTCTGGTTGCACCAGCTCAAAAATTTTAAACCAAAAGTTTCTTTAAATAGGGCACAGGGATTATCAAGCTTCTCCTCTATGCTCAAGAGCACTGGAACAGCTCTTGCTTCCACAAAAAGCACAAAGCCCTTTTGGGGGGGATTGTCTTTGACAGCAACCACAGACGGTGCTGGGATTTTCATGCTGAGCCTCACCATTCGCCTTTAACCTCTTCTCTGTTAGTTTCCTTAGAAAAAGTCATCCCTCTTCTCTTTCCTTGCTCCTCTGTGCTTTGCAAGCTGCCGTCGGAGCCCAGAGACTCATCACTGATTAGAAAAAAATTGAGGTTCCTAAGCAAACCTCCTACAGCGAGAAACACTTCAGAAAGAGATGGAGGACAGCAGCGTATCAGAAGAGCATGCACACACAGTCCCATTGCTTTAAAGGTCATGACACGCTCATAATTTTTATCATAACAACTGGCAAAGACTGCCTGTTTTACGCACCTTTGAGCCTTTGCATATCTCTATTAAGAAAGTGCAACACAAACTTTAAAAGCACACAGAAGCTCCTGCTGCCATATTTGCAAGTGCAAGAAACAATAATAAAACTTTTTTTTTTTTTTTAAATGTCTCCCAGATCTATACCTAGGGCTCAGCTCCCCTTCTACTTGCTCGCTCTGAAATATTTCCCTCCTGAGGCTGGCAGCCAGAATATTAACTAACATTATTACACTATAACTATATAACTATAACATTATTAATTGTAAAATTATTAACAACAATTATTAACTAACAACATTAGTTAAAATTATTAACTAACAACACTGCCATGGCAGTGCCAGGAAGCAGAGAGCAGCCCCCGAGACATCCACATGGGAGCAAGAGAAATGCAGGAAGGGAAAAGCTCCTTCGATATCCCCTAGGAATGGGGCAACCCGAGCCCCGCTGCAGCTGATGCCGTTTCGGAAAACACAAGGAAAAGCTCAATGAGAAAAACAAGCGCTCGCAGCGATGGCTCGGCCACCGCAGGCGCGAGCAGCGGGGGGAACCGCGAGCCATTTGCCAAGCAGCGGGTTATATTTATTTACAAACTTGGAGGAGGCTGGCAATATATCGAGCGGAGAGGGAACAAAACCTGAGAGCGCTTCCCCAGGCGGTAATAAGAACCGACTCCAGATTTGTTCCTCTGATTGTAAATCACGGACCGCAGCAAGATTTCGGAAACGTTATCTGGAGGAAGAACAAAACGACGCCTCTCCTCCRCAGCACGATCGCTTTTGTGTTCGGCACTACAAAACCCATCAGATGGGGCCACTGCTGCTCTTGCAAGATCTGTTTCTTTGAGCACACTTGGGTTTCCAGCTTCGGAAATGCTTTTTGTTTTTCTGGCAGTGACACAGCATCTCGGATCGCTTTTACAACACTGTCACCATAAAAACTACAGACTTGAGCTCCCAAGCTTAGGAGATTGGCTTTAAAGCACTAGTAATAAAAACAGCCATTCGGTTATTATGTCCTCACACTTTTGAGCTATTCGAGTTGGCATTTTCCACTTTTGCTCCACAGTCATTAGACTAAGYCAATTCCTCAGCAGATTAAAGCACAAGCTCAAATTTAAAGATTTCTAGTAGGCCTTGGAGGTGCCCAGGACTGCGTGAGCTGCAGGTCTGAGGAGCTCTGCCCAGGCTCCCTTCTGTCCCCATGAGCTTTGATCAGCCCAAAAAGTCTCCAGCAAGGGAGAAGCAGCCAACTCCTTCCTTGATAATCTCTCCTGGACAAGTTCTCTTTAAAGTTGCCATTGCTTCTAAAAAAAGCCAGCAGTAAAGATCAATTCTTGATCCCTATAGTGATACAAAGCACTTGCAATTATCTAAGGGCACCTGTTGCCTCTAAGTCACCTGAGCCGAAACCTGTTATTTCTCATTTCTGTCTCCTCCCTGTGCTTCCCACACAGAGCCAGGTGCTTGCTCAGCAATATCCTGCCAGGAACAGCCCTCACTGCTGCAGCTCTTTCCCTGAAGAGGGAAATGGCTTTTTCTTCCCCTCCTTAACATAACAGAAACCTTCCAGATGTTCACTGATGCACAGGCAGGTCCATGTGTGGGAAGAAGCAGGAGAGCGACCAYGTCCTGGGGGCACCCGCTCCGCTCCATCCCCATGTGCTCCATCCTGGCTGCTCCCAGCATTTCCCTAAATCCCTGCAAAGCCTCAGTTCCAGCAACACCCCTTTTTGAAAGCAAACTGTTTTATCATYTCTTGGCCCCCTTCATCCATCTTCTAAGGGGGAACATGGAGAATCTCAATGGATGAGTTAGATGGCAGCTTGTTTTAATAGAGCAACCGCTGCTCAGGCATGGTTTAATGCCTAATCTCCAGATCAATATAACTTTTGGCTTATAAACGATGATAACAAAAGGAGCAAGGACAAAACCACCTGGAACAAGCCCAAGCTTTCTCGCCAGGACACTTTTGGCATCATCTTGCCAAAATAAAGGCTGTGCATTTTGAACCTTGCCTGTGGAAACCAACATGGATCACGTTATCAGACAAAGCAGGACATTCA